ACATATGCAATATGCCAAACAGTAACAAGTCTCGATGGAGACATTACTGGGCCCACTCAAGCAAATGATGAACAATGGGAGGACAGTGCTACAATGCTTCTTAATTCATCAATCTCTGTAACTATTACTCTGTTGCTTACTAATTAATTACTGAGGGAGATACAGTAAGCTTACCCTCAGGAAACCTTTTTGTTTAGGATACTTTATTCTTTAATAAAGCTTTAGCCCTACAGAGTGTAGCCAAAGGGGCCACATCTTTAATCTTAAAAGAACAAGCTCTGAACCAAAAGAGGAAAGCCTCATCTATCTGTTGGTAAGGTTCCGGCTAGAATAAGTTTTTGTGACATTGCCATTGTATGATTCTCGAAAATGAATCCATACTGAAAAACTTTGTATTTTTGCCTTGCTTTTATAACTTGACAATATGTCAATGACACTCCTCCAAGTCAAATCATGTTTCTTTCATTTATTCTCCTGAAAGCCTGATTTGTCCTCCTGATGTTTTGAAACAATGTGGATGAATGATAAGCATTTCGGAATCTCATGTATTCTCTTTGACTCTTTTATTTGGCCTTTATAAACACCGCTGGCATAAACATCACTCCTTATCATTCTCAGCAGTTGGTGCTAAGAGATAAAGATCCAAGTTTGGGATTGATGATGAAACAGAATATATTTTGTTTTCATTTGCCATTAGTGTTTCCCAAATGGCCATAACACTTTGTATTTTCACAACCAACATAGGAAATGTTCCTTCTACCGTAGGCCTTCCAGCAACATTTTTGTAATGTAGGATAAATTTAGATTATTAACCCCCTCCCTTTTTTCCCCAGAAAATAAAGCCACAGTTGGTAGCAACCCAAATACTAACCCCAATGTGACTACCTCAGAGACCTTAATCTATTACCATATGTGGGGATGTTTTAAAATAATATTCAGTTTTGTAGTTTGAAGTTTTCATAAAAGTCACTCAAAATAGTGATTCTAAAATAATTTTCAGTATTAATTCAGTTACAGTATATCTAACCTTCAATTATATTCTGTTTTAATTTGTTATTCGTTTTATTTTAAGCTGGCAAAAGTTTGAGAGTCTGTCTTTGTAAGTTTTTATCAAACCTCATCTCTAGTTGAATCAGTCATAATAAGCTATTTTAAATTGTGAGTATTCTCAAACCCAAACTCCTAATGACTTTTGACTTTGAATATTCATTTCCTCTTATATGTTCATCAAAAATTCCCTAAGGTTGGGAAGGGGGCTTACTTAATTTATTCTCACAGGAATTATAATTTTCTGAAGTATTCACTATCCAAGCATTGCCTACTGGTAAAGCGAAGAACAAAGAGGATAGAAAATTGATAATTAAATTTCATGCTTTCTGCCAAGAGGTTGCCCAAATTGAATTCTTTCATTTGGCTATGAACAATATCAACTAATAAATATATTGATTAGAATAATTTTTAGGCTGCATTATATATTCCTCACTTTAGTGTGAGTCAACATTTTGATTGTCTTCTTTTTTCTTGCTGTTGACTTTGCTTATTTTGAATTGTTTTGTAAGTATATTAAAACATTGGTTTTTACCGCCCAGATATTGTCTTTAGAAATATCTTCGAGGACTATAAACTATTGTCTAAAAAATGAGCAAAAATAAACAAACGGGACTACATGAAACTGAGATGTTTCTGCACTGCAAAGGATAACGACTAGAATAAAATGACACTCCACTTTGTGGAAAATAAAACTGCTCACCACATACCTAACAATGGGCTACTGACCAAGATTTATAAGGTACCCCTAAAACTTAGTGAAAAATAATAATAATTCCTTCAAAAACTAGAGCGAATTAAAAAAAAAAAAAGAAAACTGTGAAGAGTTGCTGAGTTGCTGACCAGACACTTCCTCAAAGAAGATGTACAAATGGTCACAAATTAAATGCAGGCTTCATCATTTATCATCAAGGTGATGAAAATCAAAGTGACAGTAGGATATCACACCAGTGAGAAAGACTAACATAAAAATAATAGATAAAATCAAAATTAAAATGAACCCCAAACAACCAGTGTTGGCAGGATATGGTGAAAAATGAATCCTCCTCCTAATTTATGGACTTTTTTGTCTAGTTCAGTTTTATGGAAAGCAGTATGGAGGCTTCTCAAAAAATTAAGAATTAAGCTTCTATAGGTTTCAGAAATTAGGCTTTGTATCTACAAGATACCCAAACAAAACACAACCCCCACAAAATTGTTAAGATTATCTGTACTCATACCCATAGCGGCAGGACTGTTGACAGTACCTAAGATTTGGATCCAAATGCTCAAAACAGATGAGCAGATATTGCAATTGTAGTTTATGAACACGATGGAATGTGTATTCAGCTATTAAAAAATATGAAATCTTGGAGCTTCCTGGAACTTGGATGACACTAGAGGGTACTATGCTTAGTGAAATGAGAACACAGAGAACATGATCTCTTATATGTGCATTATTTTTTAAAAATAGTAAGAAATAAACAAACAATGTCCAAGGAAAACAGACTCTGAGAATCTGCCTACAGGATTGAGTTTGCTAAGTGGAGGATGGGGGTCATGTGTGAGGGAACCTGGGTAAAGTGGAGAGGAATGCTGATTCTTTGGTGGTGGATATACTGTAGCAATAGTATGCCCCTGAAGCATGAATATTAACTAATAATATTGAAAATCATGTTATCAAAAAGGATGGATTTTAGGAATCTAGACAGTGCACTGATCTATAAATTTAAGAATCAAATCATCAAATAACTATCAATTCCTATTTGTTGTACTATTTAGGTGAATGATTGAATAAATTAATTAATGGCATCAAAATTATTATTACAGTTTAATCAGTGGTTTTAAGATAAGTGACATCAGCATTTGAAAATTTTATAATGATTACAGTATACTCAAAACTCTTAATAATTGCTATCAAATCCAGTTTAGTTTCATCACCATGTCCATATACTACCTGGGAATATATTTTTGGTTCTCATATTAAGTTATAGGCTAGACACTATTACTTGTGATTTGAATTTTGAGTTAATATAATATGAAGGAAATCACTGGTGAATGACAATATAGTGGTAGATTTTCAAAGTACATTTTTTTGAAGGCAATAACAATTTCTTTTTATAACAAAAGAGATCTTATAGATATTTCTTTCTATTTCAGCTCTCAAAAATGATACTGAAATTCTGATTCCATGTTTCTTCTTTTACATTGAAGCAGATGTCAATTTCATATGTATTGTGAATATAATCCAATCTGTTCTTCAAATATAAATGTAATTACTGGTCAATGGCTTTTAATAATTTTTACATCTGCTGGGACTGTGGTAGTTTTATTAATTATTTTGACATAAGGTTTTTTTTTCCCCTCTTCAGGAAATTAAAGATTTAAAACAATCAGTACTTGAGATTCTCTCTTCTATTTGTAATATAACTGCATGTGCTTAAGTAGCCTGGGTCAGATGACCAGAACTTTTATTACTCAGAAGTAATAATGCCACCAACCTGAACAACAACAAAAAAATTATCTAGGGAAGAATTTGCCTATTTAATATGTCATTCAAAAAGCAATCCATTCTTGTATTTCTCCTCTGGACTGATTTTACTTATTATGATCTCTTCTAGTTACGTTCAAGTTATCACAAAAAAGCTTATTTTTTGTTATAGCTGAATTTCATTATGCATGTATGATACATTTTTGTCATCCATTTATCTGGCATTAGGCCCTCGGATTGTTTTCATATCTTGGATAAATCAATAAATAACACTAAGCAAAGTTCCACTTCCCCCAATGTGTATTGACACATGATGTTATCAACAGATGATTTCATTTGATATGTTACAAACTAGGTTCTCTGAAAATTATATCATCACGTGCACTAGAAGGTTTTAATTCTTGGCAGCAAAATTATGTTGAAATGTAAATAATTTTGACCCACCGGAAATGATTCCCAAGAAAAGAGGGAGAAATAAGCCCTGAGCACTGCAGGGTGTGACCCCCAAAACATGTGGGTGATGTGTTTGTGTGATGTGTGTATGATGTGTGTGTTCCTTTTTTATTTTGAATGCTAGTTTGCTAAAAGTGTTAACTTTTGAACAAAGTGAAATCATGTGCAGTCATCCTTGATTTGTGTAACAAGCACATGCTTTGTGTCTTTTATATTTCTCATTTCATTTATTCTTCACAGAAGATGTTTAGAGTAGTGTTGAGTCTAATACACGTTATTAAGATGAGGACATAATTAGAGATGTTAAGAAAAGTATTAGTCACTTGAATTTTACATTTAACCTGTCTGATTATGAAGCTATTCATATTATAAATTAATTTTTAAGATATTATTTTTATAAAATCAGTTTGTATGATTGTATTTGTTTTAATTGTACAATCTCATGCCTTTCCAAATATATGTTACCATGTCACAACCACTTCCAAAATACCAATATGTTTCCACCACACTAAGCCACTGTTCATATTGCCTTTGGTCATTCCAATTCCTGGTCAATCCAGTAACCACAGTTCTGCATTATGAATCCATAGGTTTGTTTTACGTTGGCTTTTTATGTTCCTGTGCTTTGATTCTCTTAAATGCTATTAATCATTCAGTTCTCTGAAAGAAAATAAGATAGAGTTTTAGTCATTAGTCTCTTAAGTATGCAAAATGTCATCTTAAACTCAAACCTAATTATGTGGTATGACAAGATATTATGAAGTTTCAAAACATTGTTCTTAAAAATATGGATTTTTGACATACACCAAGTTCTATGCAATTTCCAGATGACAACTTGATATTGACATTAGAGGGGAAGAAATAGACATTAATAATTGAAAGCAAGGTGAATATATGCATTACATAAATTGAAGAGAGGAAGAAGTTAACCATTTTTCAGCTATTTATCTGTAACTATAGTAGCTATTTTTAATGTCTACTCAATCTATTAGGATAAATTTGTTTGTTTATTTTACGTTTCCTTATCCAGATTTATATTTTTGAAAATAATATCTACTATCAACCTGATATAAAAAGCAGTTCGTTGCGATTGACATCTTCGGGAAAGGAAGGAATTATTTTTAATGGGATTGCCGACTGGTTATATGAAGGTGAGTGGAATACATTGTTTTCCAAAAAATGTAAATGACATTCTTTAGTAGAAAATATTTTTTAAAATATGCTCATTCAACAGAAACACATATGATCATTTTTTCTCTTCATTTCCTCTCAAAATTCTCTTTATGCTTTTGAATCTTTTGTTATATTCATATTTTTATTGATTCCAATTTACATATACTCATCTTGATCCATGCATGGTATGTATGCATATTTTTACTACTAGGTGGATTTTATTTTTAGTAATAATTAATAATAGAAAATGAACAATCACCCATGAGGACCATGGCTGAGGGTCACTTTGGAGGTTATGAGGCATAATAATTTTGTACTTTGAAATCACAAACGTTAATGTTATTATGCCATTTTATGTAATCACCATAAATATTTAAAAGGAATTGTCACTTTCACTTTCTGTGAAATTGGTTGGGTTTATTTTCTGACTCTCCTGAATTGAAGAACCAAAATTTTTAATGGAGTACAAGTACATGAAGAGTTTAAACCGTTACATCAATTCTATTCTGTCACACATTAATGTCACAAAGTGATGAAAAGAAAACATACGTAATATTTTACACTAACTTGCAATAACTCTCGAATTGTTTTTCAGTAAAACTTTAGAATATTAAAATGAAAGTGGTAGTAAAAACAGCTATTCAGATTTATTTAGTAAAAATTGCCAACTGAGTTATAGGTATATGTAGAAAAATGTATGGTGGAAACTATGGAAGTTCAAAACCTGCATTTAGAATTTTGGTTCTGTGGTACTTTTGGCAATTCACATTAAGCTAGAATACTATAATTTGGCAAAAATTACAAAACTAAGCACAATACAAAAATAATGTTATTTATTGAGTATATTTTAAAATCCAGTACTAATACAGAGATATTTTTAAATATATATGTATACATTTGCTCGAGCAGGCCCAGTAACGTCTCCATTGGAGACTTTGTTGTGACTGTGTCTGGCATATCGAATACGTCACGGGGAGCTTGCCAGGCTCTGCCATGCGGGCGAGATACTCTCGGTAGCTTGCCGGGCTCTCCGAGAGGGGTGGAGGAATCGAACTCGGGTCGGCCATGTGGGGTGCGTGCAAGGCAAATGCCCTACCACTCTGCTATCGCTATACATATAGAAATATTTAAGAAAAGAAAAGAAAAAGTGATCAGTAATTGATTTTTACATTCAACAGTTGATATTGAAGACCAGTTGTGTACCAGGTACTGAGATTCATCAAGGGAAAAAAATAGAGCATTCTGAGGATGTTATATCAAAAGATTTGGTTTTTTTGGGGGGAGCTTTTATACTAAAGATGAAACACTGTAGCCATTGATGTTTATATGTATATAAATGCATATATATGTATACAGAAGTTTTTATGTCTATTGTTTATTCTGTTACATTCCAGCATCAATAATTTTAGCACTGCATCTTATCCTAAGAACAACCCCATGTACCAAGCTGATTGTTGCCTCTGAGTTCTTCTGGGTGACATGCTCAACTTAAAAAAATAAATAAATAGTTACAAAAATACACCTTACATATATTAAGTAGTACTATACTATGGAAGTCAAGTTTGTTTGGTACCGCTGAGACTTGGGGAGAATATGATATTTAGAGAGAATGTGTGACTTGGGCATGAACTCAAAACTCACGACTGTCTGAGTTGAATGTGTGTCACTTGAATAAATGACTTTAAAAAAACAATTACATATAGTACCTTCTATCTTTCCTACACTGCGATAGACTTTATGAGATCGAAGCTGTTAACATTTTATTCACATATTTCCTCAAATCTGTTGTTCATGATTTATCATAAGTGTTGCCTCGTTTCATAAAATTGGGAACAAGCAAATGAATGACAAAGTATAGGATAAACATCTACATAATTCAGTTACCACTTATTCTTTCTCATTACCCAGCCCGCTATCCCATCTTTTGCTTTAGAAGTTCCATGTGTTTGTTTTATCTTTTGCTGTCACTTTGCTTGTCCATCATGCAAACAGCTCCAAAATTTTTAATATTTTATTTTCAGTTTCAATATATTTACCAAAAACAATGATATCCATGGGAAATGTGTCTGATCTTTAACACATTATGTGTGTGATGTGTTAAAGAGATTTCTTCCTCATTACTTTATAACAATCAGTTATAATAAAAGTTACTACGCTTGGGAGACGCAGGAAGTTAACCACAACATTCTCATTTTCACTTTTCAGTTGATATTCACCTAATATAAATTCCATAAAAAAGACAATAGTGTACAAATAACAAAAATAATTAAATGTGTTATGGGAAAATTATGATAATGGCTTAATATTTTTAGGGACAAAATTATCTGTGAAATATCTATTGTCTCCTCCAGTTCAATATTTTCCTTTTTAAAAAAAGTAAATTCAAATCTTGCGTTGTTCAGGGATTACTCCTGATTCTCTACTCAGGGATCACTCATGGCAAGACTTGGGGATCGTATTTTGTTTCAGGGATCAAACGTGAGTTGGCCACTTGCAAGGCAAGCATACTCTACACCGCAGTGTTGTTGTGGCCCACCAAGCAGGATTCTTAGAAACAAATTGTGATCGTTTCCTTTTTTACTTTAATAGTTCAGTAAATAAAAAAAGCCTATTTTAATTTGGGCTGGAGCGATATTATTTTTTAACTTCTGTTGGACACAGAAAGTTATGTATACACATCTGCTACCTCAATAAATCTTTATTTGCTGAACACTTAGTAAACCCCAGTAAAAATAGCCTTTATCTGTGTCAAATAAGTGTCATTGATGATATGGCTATGTGAGTTATAGGAAGATGAATAATCAGCAATGCTGAGTCTCATAAGAAAAAGCACGCTAAGTATTCCAAATTAACTTTTAAGTTTTCTATCAGGATTTGATACAAAGAAAAATCAGGCAGCTGCTGGGGCTCTCAGCAAGTTTAACTGACAGAAGTGTAAATTGGAAGAGGGTCATGAGGGTAGATAGTTATTTCAAGAAAGTAAGCAGTGAAATACAGAGAATAAGCATAGGGAGCCAGGATTAACCATCAACTCATAGGGTTGGCAGTAGTAGCTCTGAAATTTTATTGTCTAAACTGATAAACTGCAGATGGATAAAATCAGCTTACGTTTCATAAGATGTATTAATTTTACAAAATGTAATTTGTATTTCTTAGTCTTGTATAAGTGCTTTGCATTGTCTTTTAAGTGTCTGTGATATAAAACAACATGTTTGGAAAACTCCATCTGCTCTGAAGTAGATTTTCTAAATCAATATCATAATCACAATGAAGAGCCAAAACTACACTAAATGGAATGCAATGCAATTTGTAAAAATAAATGCTTATAAACTATAATGTAATTATTATAGAAGTTTTATCCATGAGAAAAATGTAAATTAATTGCAATTAAGGAAATGCATGCCTTATCCCAGTAGATGCTAAAACGAAAGCATATTAAGCATTTTTGTCAGTGGTTGGGTAGTATTATAGTGGGTAGGGCATTCACTGCAAGTGGCCATCCTGGGTTAGGTACCTAGTACCCTGTATGGTCCCTTAAGACCACCCTAAATGATGCCGGAACATAGATCTAGGAGTAAATTTTGAGTATTGCTGCCTGTGACTGACTCAAAAATAACAACCACAAAAAGCATTATCTTTCTAACTTCAACTTCTTTCATTTTTATATTTAAAGAACATCACTTAATTGGAGGGGGGTTGGTATTTTTATAAAGAATAACTTTAGGTGTTGAGACTCTGAGATGGATAAGAATAGATGCTATCAAGATTTTCACTGCCCTCAAACCTAAGCCATTTTCATAATGGTACTCTGTACAAATAACTCAACCTTCAGGAAAGAAGCCACTTAGAAATACTTAAAGTTGTCTTGGGTCATTATTGTTTTTCCGAACCTTCAAGTGTCATGGAGTTCTGTTGGTTGACATGTAGTATATTTTATTTCTCAGCGTGACATGAGAAATAATGGCAGTGGATGATTTGTATCTCCTGAACTGAATTATTTTGTTTTATAAATCACAATCAAAATTACAACTGAATAAGAGTGGACCATTCAAATTCATTTTCTAGATTTTAACTATAAAGGGTCATGTTTCACAGGCAGTGAATTTTCAGGAAACTTGTGGATTGTTTGGTTTATTAAAACAGAAATGAGAACTGAGAAGAGGCAATAACTAATATGGAAAGTTTGAAGAAGGAAATGCTTTAGTTTCCACAGTATTAGAAGCAATATCAGTTGAGCATCTGTCAGATATACATGAATGAAATTGTTAAGAGCAAAACAAAATCAAACACAAACACACACACATACACACACACATATATATATATAATACACTATTTTTCCTACATTTTATTGCCTTGTTTCATATATAACAAAAAGTCACAGGTCATAAGAGTTTTTTTTAATATTAGAATAAATTTTTGCAGCCTGAAAGAGAAGCAAATAAAGTCATATCTGCTATTTGTTCACTGGAAAATAGCAGTGCAGTTATACTTCTGTATGAATATATGACTAAACAAATACTTGTGTTTCTTATACAAGTTCTGGAAAAGATGCCTACATAAAGAAAAACAGATTTGAATTGCGGCTATAATAAGTAATTATTTCTCCATTTTCGACACTGCTGATTTATTTTTAATTAGAGAGATTACTAATCAGGTGGATCTAGTAAGTTCAAACTTCATCCTTTCAAGTCTCATTCCTGTACATCTTTTTCTTAATTGTATTGTTGCGATTTCAGTTTTCATTTGAAATGGAAATTTGAACGTAAAAATGTAGAATTAAAAATTGGCATGGGGTATTTGTGAATCTGATTAGACCCAAATACAGTTTTCCTCTTCTCCCTTTATATAGTGAGGAGGCATTTCTTTCTTGATTGACAAAATTATTCTTTTAACCCACCAAAGTATCTCTGTTTTCTGCCAATATATATTTCTCCTCATGAACGAAAAAGATGGAAGAGAAATTTTAGTTTCCAAT